CCGATGTGGAAAGGCTCATCATAGAGCGGATCAATGTCGAGAAAGAAATTTATTCTGTCATTTCTGTAATATTAGTGGTCATGTAGATAAGGTATGCAGAAGAAGACAAAGACAATCAACACCATCAGTATCTACTCACTTAGTGGAAGCCAGTGAATCGAACGAGGATCGCCGAAATTGTGATACAAATAATGATTTTGAACAAATCAATGTTGTTGGATTATTCAGAGATGTTGAATCAAGTAAATATTTCTGTTATGTTAAAATTAATGGAAGAAAATGTAGAATGGAATATGATACCGGATCTGCAGTGTCTCTAATGAGCTTCAGAAATTTCAAGAAAGATTTTCCAGATGTCACCATTTCATCAACGCCAACTCAGTTGAGCACTTACACAAAACAAAGTTTTCCTTTAAAGGCATCGTCAATGTTATTGTCACAACTAATGATATGATGAAATCAATGAATACAATGTTACATGTAACACAAGGTGACTATGACACGATCATTGGGCGTAACTGGATTTCATCTTTGGGGCTATGTCCGAGGATAAATATGATTGAAGATGATTCTCAAGTGGAGAGATTAGCGAAAGATATCATGGACCAGTATAAAGATGTTTTCCAATAAATCATTGGAGAAATTCCTTATTCAATTAAGGGATGTTTAAGATTGCAGAAAGATGTTAAACCAATATTCATGAAACCTAGAATGGTTCCTTATGCTCTGCGAAGTAAAGTTGAACAAGAAATCGATAAATTGAAGAAAAATTTTTGAAATTTTTGAAAAAGTCGAATTTTCATTATGGGGAACTCCTTTGGTTCCAATAATTAAAAATGATAATTTAATTCGACTTTGTGCGGACTACAAAGTAACGCTCAACAAATGTTTGGCAGAAGATCAAACAAACGAGATTCCTAGAATTGAAGATTTATACATGAAGTTACGTGGTGGAAAGTATTACTGCATACTGGATGTTTTCAAGGCCTATTTGCATCTACCAATTGACGAAGAAAGTGCAAATTTGCAAACTGTATCTACACTGAAGGGTTGTTATCGAGTGAAAAGATTGATGTTTGGGGTGAAGTCAGCACCAAACATATGGCAGCGATTCATGAACTCAATATTATATGACTTGGATGGTGTAGTATGTTTCTTCGATGATATCGTGGTACAGGGTGCAACAATTCAGCAGACACGCGAGCGTCTAGAATGTGTATTGGATAGACTACAGAAACATAATTTGCATTTGATTCCGAACAAAGTTAAACTTTTTAAACGGTCAGTTCAATATTTGGGTCATACAATCGATGAATTTGGTTTACACAAAACAGACGAGAAAATCAAAGACTTATTGAATGTCACAGCTCCTATAGATATTCATCAACTGAGACAGTTCTTGGGGATGATGAATTATTATTACAACTTTATTCCTGATCTAGCGAGCAAATTATATCCTCTCAACCAATTACTGAAGAAGTCAACCAAATTCGAATGGACTGATTATTGCGAAACTGTATTCAATAATATCAAAAGAGAAATAACAAGCGATCAAGTTTTGATCCATTATGATCCCAGTTTACCACTCATATCAGCTACCGGCATCTCCATTTGGATTATCAGCAGTCTCATCTCACAGATTACCGGAAGGAGAGAGACCTATAGCTTTTGCAAGTAGAACGCTCACAAATGCAGAACAGAAATATAGCCAACTTGATAAAGAAGCCACTGCTATATTCAATTTTTAAACCAGATAAACATCTTCCAGATATGATCACAAATAGACTATTGAGGTATGCACAGTTTTTATCGGGGTTCGACTATTCAATAGAGTATCGAAATACTAAAGACCATTCCAATGTGAATTTTCTATCGAGATTTCCACAAAGCAATCCACAAGAACAGGAATGTGATGACACAAGTGTATTACAATTATATGAAGAATTTTTACCAGTAACAAGTGTCATGATAGCTGAAGAAACAAAAAAGGATGAAGAGTTGTATTCATTTTATTAGGCAATTCAAAGTGGAAATTTCAAGGACAGCTCGTACAAAGATAAGGAAGCGGAATATACTATCGAAAATAATTGCATTTTAACAGGGTCAAGAGTGATCATTCAAAAATCGTTGCAGAAGAAGATATTAGAGGAATTACACACAGCTCACATTGGAATTGTTAAAATGAAAACTCTTGCCCGAAATTATTGTCACTGGAAACATATGGAAAAAGACATTGAGGAATTCGTCAATAGTTGTATCGCATGTGGAAAAGTACAAAAGACGTGCTGCAAGGTTCCTACTCATCCTTGGGAAGAACCGAATGAAGCATGGCGTCGTCTTCATCTTGATTTTGCTGGACCTTTCATGGAGCGCTCCAGATGGTTAGAAGTCGCAGTAATGAAGAGAATCACGAGTTTCCACACTATACAAGAATTACGAAATATGTTTTCACGTTTTGGTCTACCTTTACAACTAGTGACCGACAATGGCCCTTCTCTCGTTTCACAGGAATTCAAGGCATTCCTTAAATCTAATGGAATTCATCATATTACTACTGCACCGGGTCATCCTGCAACAAATGGTATGGCCGAAAGGTTTGTTCAAACTGTTAAGGGTGGATTGCGATCCGCTTTATATGATCCCGGAGATCTGAACATCAAACTGAACAGACTCCTTATGCAATATCGGAAGACTCCGAATGCATCGACGGGAGAGAGCCCCGCTGAACGTATGTTTAAATTCAATTTCCGTACAAGAATCGACATAATAAAAGACGAGACTCATCAAGAAACAAGCAAACATTTTGTTACATCAGATAACAGTGAAATAAGAACATTTGAAGATGGCGATCCAGTCCTTATAAGGAATTATACTGGTCTAGATGAATGGAAAATAGGTGTAGTTAAATCAAGGATTGGTAAATTGAATTATCTGGTGAAATATGACGAAAAGTCGGCAAAACGTCATGTCGATCAATTGAAAGCTACAGGGTGTGTTATTGATTCAAAGGTTACATCAAATGTTCCTACTAGAGGAGGAGAAGAACAACCATGCCAACAATCTCCCATTGGGAACCGAAATCAGAGATCGTTTTCGCCGTGCACTTCTCGTGGATTTCCTTTGACTTCGACATCATTAGGAGGTGGTGTCCCATGTGCATCTGAAATGGGAATCGATAATCAGCAAGACCAGGATGATCGAACTATTGCAGATAGTCCACAACAGCTTGTTTCAACTACACCAGTTGAGATTTCATCGCAATGCCTGAGAAGATCCGGCAGGAAACGAACAGAACCTCAGCGTTTGAATTATTCATAAAATTATGTTATATATTGTTCATTTCTTCAGGGGGGAAGTGTTGGGTTTGATCACTCAGTATTATTATGAAGGTGACAGGGAAGAATCTAATGAAGACTATTCAGTACATAATAATAACCACTTTTTAAAGGAAGTGTTTCAAGAGAGTATGGATTTTCAAAAGTTCCATTTACAATAATTCAGAACCATTCTCCAACCTTCATCTGCTTCATCATGTTTTAGATTCAAGAGTGATCCTCTTTTGTTCCACCAACGGTTCTTCAATAACGTCAATATCTCCTTCTTGAGAGAAGATACAAGTGTTTCAAGAAAGTATAGATTTTTCAAATTTTCTATATCAATAATTCAGAACCTATCTACCTATCTCAGGGGTGACCTCTAGAGGCTCATTCGCCTTCGCCCAGCCTTGTCAGATACTCTTCAAGAGCTACGATTCGCCCTTCAAGGAGGATTCTAGGTAATTCTTCAAGGCTTCTTGAGTAATTTGATCAATTCGATGCCACTGCGGTTGAATGCTGTAATTCAATATCGAGAAGAGCATACTCGTTATTGACTATAGGTCTGCTTCTTGTTTGTTTTTTGTAATCGATTTTCCGGTAAGTGCTGAGAAAGTAAGGTAGAAATATGTGATATTAATCCTTGAAGTTGTTAATCAATAAGTTCATGTAAGTTCTAATTATTGGTAAAAAAAAGTTGAAAAACACCATACTTCCTTAAAACACTGGTATCTTCTTTTAACAATGAGATATTGACGTGAATCACAAATTGTTGTGTTAAGAAGGGATCACACTTCAATCCGAAGCATAATGAAGCCATGTTCAATCACGCAATTTCGCCACAGGGTTTTTCCCTGTAGAATGATCAAGTCATCAGCTTTTCAGGAGAATTATTATTCAGGATAACATTCCGGAACATGAATCTACGATTTGATCTAAATTTCACAAAAATCCGACAAGGATTAAAAAAGTAATAGTGTGAACAATTTGGGCAAATATTTTGGTGGCCGGTTTATTTTGCCGGTGAGTGTGAAAAGTCGAAATTTCAATTATGCACAATTCAAAAAACAATGCAAAGAATGGCTTTTTTCTATTGATATAACAATTTTGAATAATATATTCATCTGATATTCTGTATATCATTGTATATCCAAACCTATTAGTCCTGAATTTCAAATTTCAATCGAAACTTATATATTTAACTGTATAGATACCTATTTAAACTGATTACATCAATAATTTTGTACTATCAACTGCGTTTGAAATATCTTGAGGAAATCGGCCATAGTCAGGTAGGTTCATAGAATTATACAAAACTTACCTATATGAATTTCAGTTCGCCTGCAAAGAATTGTATAGTCACGCGCTGACAGATTGGTGCCTTAGTGATCCTATTCTTCTTTATTCCTTAAAAAAGTATAGTCAGTAATGGAAATTTTCAATTTATAGTACCTACTTATTATTGATGGAATATAATATATTTAGGTAACATTTTATTTTCAGAATAAAGAATATCATTTATTGATCTAATCGTATTGTTCATATATACGAATGTATACATTTTAGACATCCTATATAGAAATTATTATATAATAACGCATACAATATGAATAGTTAAAAAATTGCAAACGCGATATCCCACGGATGTCCATACGTCATCCAGTGTACACAAACTGGATGTCCTAAATAGATGTCCAAGATGTCCAGAGGAGGATGTCCGTAGGGCGTCCATTGTATCGAGTTGTGTAATCAGGGTGTAAAAATAATTTGATTAAAAGTCATCAGAAGAAAACTTGCCCATTCCATGAAAACCTCTAAATCTTCTGGTACACTAAGAACGTATAACCGGCTTTGAATATCTGGAAAAATTCGCATATTAATACAGAGTGAGCACTTCCGTCCAGATTTCAGACTGACATTCACGATCAGGTCATTGTCGATCACTCGAAAATTGCCTATGGTTAATTCAAGTGGTCTTTGCACTCTGGCCATCACAATCGAAAGACTTCTCACCACTTCAGAATATTGGTCGTACCAGTTACTCTTGAATATCTTCACGCACAAATTCGTGCTCTGAAACGTTCCTGAAGTCAATATACAACAATGCATGTGTAGAAATCAAAATTAACATCGTTCGAATATCAGAAAAAGTAGTTGTCAACTTGTTCTGGAGTTAGAATGAACAGTTATTCTGCAGTGTGGGTTTTAGTGCTTCTGCAATGTGGGTTATTACCACATATTATTCTATTCTATTATTTGTTTTTATTAGGTGACGTCTTCTTGGATCTCCCTATTCAATGGTATAGGGTAAGATATTCCTATATACAGGGTGAGTCAAAAATGTGTACAGAGCTTTCTGGGGGTGATAGAACATTGAAAAATATGTGTAGTTTGATGATTAAACTCATGGCCCAAAATGTATATTAAGGAAGATATATCCTTCCAAAGTTGATAAAATTGAAATAATTTCTCCGCATAACTTCTGAACGATGAAAGCCACCCGATTGAAATTTCGTGCATGAATGTATGTTGTCAAAATAAATTTTTTCGTCACACTTCCACATTTCTGATATTGTTATAAAGGGTGTTTTCAGAGGGTGAGTCATGATTTTTTGTAGAAATTTTTTTCCCTGTATTATTTTCGGTGAAAAAACAGGAGCATTTGATGGAGCAAAGAAAATTACATGGAAAAGGTACTCTTATTCAAATACAAAAAATTGAGCCGTTCGTGAGATATTTGAGTTTTTGTAGTTACATGATATCAGCAGATTGATTTTATTCATCGCTAGATTCATCGGTATATAACGATATTTCAGCAGTCCATGAACAATTTTGTTTTTAATTTTGTCGATAATATCACCTCCCTGTGCCACGTTACTGAGCAATAAGTACATAGCATGAGTCTGTCCCAACAAGGTTTGAATAAAAATAAAAGTTTGATAATGTTTTTGGTACTTTTAATTAATACATAATTTTGAATGGAAGAAAAAGGAAAAAAACAAATTAAAGTAGCTGTTCGAAATGTCCACCGTTTTCGGTTATACATAATCTGAGGCGTTTACGTAAATTATTCATCAAACTGTTCATAGTTTGGTGATCATTTTTCAACAACGTAAATTCGTTCACAATTGTTTGCCTCAGCTCCTCAACATTCCGAATTTCGCTTGGATAAACCCTCTATTTCATGTAACCCCAGATCGAAAAATCTAGTGGATTGAGGTCAGGCGAACGAGCGGGCCAGGAAATAGGAGCGTCTATGCCTCGTCCTATCCACCTATCAGGAAAATTATCATTAAGCCATACACGTACAACTCTTACATAATGAGGTGGTGCTCCATCATGCATAAAGCAGATTTCCCTACGTATGTTGAGAGGAATGTCTTCTAATATCGTACCTTACTCATTTTCTAAGAAGTTGAGGTACATTGCACCACCATTCAGAGACAACGAATTTGTCTCCTAAAGTCGCAGCCCAGACGTTTACTTTGAAATTATATTGAAAATGCGTTACTTTAACAACGTGTGGATTTTCGTCAGCCCAGAAATGAGTGTTGCGCGAATTGAAAATACCGTTTCTAGTAAAAGTTGCTTCGTCTGTGAACAATATTTTTTTAAAAACTCAGGACATCTTCGAGTTCGTTCCAGCAACTCTTCGCAAAATCTCAATCTTATTTCATTGTCTCGTGGTATCAGTTCTTGTACCTGCAAATAATGATAAGGGTGTAGCTGTTGCTCTCTGAGAATCCTGGTTACATTCGCTTGTGTTGTGTCTATTCGTCTTGCTAATTTCCTTGTACTCATTTCCGGATCCTGTTCCACAGTATTTAATACTTCTTCTTCAACTTCTACAGTTCTCGCACTTCTGGGTCGGCCACCATTTCTATTATTGGTTTTCAAACATACTGTTTCACGCAGTCTTTGTACAATCCTCAAAATTGTTCTCGAATTTGGAACGCGTCGAGCGGGAAACATCTCTGCATATGGTCTCACAGCAGCTTTTGCATTTCCAAAGCATTCGCCAAGCATTAGAAGCATATCAGTTTGTTCAGAGAACGAATAACCTGCCATATTTCTTAAAATCTCAGTTGATAATCGCAGTGATAAATGACACAGAAAAACCACACGAACAAATCAACTACAACAATGTTGACTCGAATGTTGATGACATGAACGTCAAAATTGAGAACAAAATTATTCATCATGGCCTGCTAAAATATTGTTACCGATGAATCTCGCGATGAATGAAATCAATCTGCTGATATCATGTAACTACAAAAACTTAAATATCTCACGAACGGCTCAATTTTTTGTATTTGAATAAGAGTACCTTTTTCATGTAATTTTCTTCGCTCCATCGAATGCTCTTGTTTTTTCACCAAAAATAATACAGGGAAAAAAGTTTTCTACAAAAAATCATGACTCACCCTCTGAAAACACCCTTTATAACAATATCAGAAATGTGGAAGTGTGACGAAAAAATGTATTTTGACAACATACATTCATGCACAAAATTTCAATCGGGTGGCTTTCATCGTTCAGAAGTTATGCGGAGAAATTATTTTAATTTTATCAACTTTGGAAGGATATATCTCCCTTAATATGCATTTTGGGCCATGAGTTTAATCATCAAACTACACTTATTTTTCAATGTTCTATCACCCCCAGAAAGCTCGGTACACATTTTTGGCTCACCCGTTATATTCCTATCTATACAGGGTGTCCCGTAATTAGCCTGCCAAACTTCACCAGCGGCTTCAAGGACCAAAAATAGAGAGAAAACTGTCGATGAACATGATTCGAGAAATGCCTCCTAAGACAGATACAGCCCCCTAAAAGGGGGCTCCTGAAGATGATATTTCTTGAGTATCTCCGAAACTCCATGTGATAAAAAGATGCAATTTGGTACAAGAGCTAAACTTTCTGTATCCAATGCAGTGTGAATGAAATCATCTCAAAATTCTCATCAGGAGTGTATAATACAGGGTGGGACTACGTTAAATATTGCTCAACATTTCTTGTATGCATATTTTCCAACAACTCAATACCGGATTATGAAATTTCACATTTCTTTACAGAAAGAAGGTACTCTTGTTTCATGACGATCACATGTATTATTATCGAGTAAAAGCATTTTAAAAATATTGTTATATCTCAGATATTATGCATAACATTGCAATGAGGCATAGTGGAAATGGAAAAAATTGTAGAAAACTCGAGAAGTTTTTTCATCATTATTTTCCTATTTTTCGCGCTATTATGAGATTGTTTGGTTAAAATAAAGTACTTTATTTTTGTTAGCCACTATGATTCGAAAATTGGCAACGTTATAAGCATAAGATGTGAGTGCATCAATATTTTAAAATCGATTTCACTCGAAAATGATACATTTGATCGATGCGGAACAGGAGCACCTTTTTCTGTTAAACGGTGTGGACTTTCATAATGCGAGATTACACTGTCAGAAAATATGCACACGAAAAAGTGTGAGCAATATTTAATGTAGTCCCACCCTGTATTATACACTTCTGAATGGAACTTCGAAATGATTTTATGTTCACCGCATTGGGCATGGAAAGTTCAGTTCCTTGTACCAAATTGCATAATTTTATCACTTGGTGTTTCGGAAATATTCGAGAAATATCATCTTCAGGAGCCTCCTCTTAGGGGGCCGTAGCTCCCTCAGGGGACATTTCTCGACTCATATTCATTGGAATTTTTCTTCCTATTTTTTGTTTCAGAAGCCGCTGGTGAAGTTTGGCAGGCTTATTTCGGGACACCTTGTATATCTAGTGAGTATGAGAGAGTTATGAGATACAAAATATCTATTGAAAATGAGATAAATCACCGAATTCCTTGAATAATGTGAATCCCCCCATTCCTTTCAGATCAAGCTTTTCTCCATTTATGGAAATATGTGACAATCCTAACGTGAAGAATTAATGACTCGATTGAAAAAGATCCAATTCGGAACTAACAAATTGAATTGGATCATTTCAATATCATTTCATGAATGAATGAACCTCATTGTCGATAATTATGCATATCTAGAAATAAAAATCTCTAATGAAATGTAAGATGATCTCCGTCTGGTTCATTGCTTTTTGGTACAAGAATTAAGATCTTTTAGAATTAGAAGCGAGTGATGTAGACTGTTACAAAAACGTTGAAACCTTAATTTCGTGAAAATGGTGGTATACGACCTCTGAGAATTCGGCACCAATCCCAGAATCCATAAGATCATGGCATCAGCAGTCTAGTCAGTGATTCATGTCGGTGTTTTATCTCAGAGATATTTCAATCAGAGATATAGCATAGATGAATGGTTGTTTCGAATGAAATTTTCAAATATTACTTGATATTTTAGGTAAGCTCACTGCTGAAAAAAAAAGTCATCATGCCCTCTTCCCCATTTTCCCTTGCACATTCTAGCAGATTGAAGCAAGTATGAATCCGATACCCAGCGAGCACAAAAACATCTCAGTAAAAGTACGAGATTTCAAAACATTGAACCTCCACTGCGATGTTCAGTTCACACATGAATAAAACTATTATAGAACAGTCAATGTCCGCCGCAGGCGGCAATTATCGAGATGTCCTTGATATGTCACAAAACTACCTTCTCCCTAGTCCTTTTTAAAGCCTTTTCATGGACACAACAAAACATTTTCAACGCGTCTTGCGCACATTGAATCGCTGTAAAAAACCATTATCGAGGTACTTTTCTGAAGCCTTTTGTCAAAATGAACTTTTGCATTAGGATTCCATTGCTCTTCAATGAAAAAATGCATTAAAAATAGATTGAACATGAAAATATTTTCTTGATATGAAATTACCTTCTTAATCGGTTCCTGAGTAGTGCTTACTACACACAGACATACCCACTGAGGCACCGAACAATACATCTTGCATCTGATGGTCATTATTTCAAACTAAATAAGTCTTCTAACACAATAAACTTCACCAAATTCCTTTCTGTTCATTAGCAGCGTGATGTAAGCGTGACACGCTGCAAACGCGAATGCCAATTGCGAGCAAGAAGAACAAAATCGAAAACAAATCAGAATTCATCGTATTGTGACGTAAGCATGAGACGTTGTGGTGGGGCAAACGAAGAAAGGACACTAGAGAACAAAAACAATACTTTCAATATCCTTCTAAGACCTCTTTGGGAAGTGCATATTACGCCTCAAAAAAAACATCCTCATGCCTACATTTCTAAAACATCCCAAAACATCCCAGGGATACCTCTCACTATGCAAACAAAGAAATGCCACAGAAGAACAAAAACAATACTTCAATATCCTTCAAAGACCTCTTTGGTCAGTGCATATTACGTCTCAAAATAACATCTTCATGCCAACGTTTTCAAAACATCCCAAAACATCCCAGGGATGTTTGCGCTCGCTGGGTAGTATGAAACATGAAATGAGTTTCAAATGAGCCTGTCAATTCATTCATAAAAAGAAGAAACATTTTGAATGCAGCAGAGATATAACTGCTGAACCAACTGTGATGAAGAATGTGATGAGTTTCATGTGAGTCTTTGATTTCATCTTGCTACCTATATCTCTGATTGGAACATTCATGCGATGAAGCATGGAACATAATATGTAGTTAGGACTGCTAAATCAAATTATGCTATAATATATCTCACTGAAACATCTCTGTGATGAAACGTGATGGAACATTTTTGTAATGCAGCACTGACTTAGCAGCTGACCGTTAAAAATTATTTATAGATATGCCTCTCGTCACTTATAGATATCGAGATATTGCACATTCTGTCGCTTCACTGTTGCCAACATGATAAACAGAAAGCGGCACCATTTCAACGTCAATATTCAATGGCCACCACGATACTACGATCTTCCATGAAAACCCTGTACTTACCTCTAATGATAACTCATTGGCATTATAGTAAACCATGATAAGATGAAGTAGTAGCCCAATCACAATGAACAGGTAGAATAGAAGATCTCCCTTATTGGTCGCGTGTATCACCTGTAATTTCACCAGAGAAATTCATAGATTCGAGAATTTTCGCAAATGTTGAACTTACGTTCACAAGCGACACTGTTATTTGATAAGATTTGACCAAAACCTCTCCAAGGAAGTACCATTTCAAGGATTCATTGACATTTTCAACGTATCTAGAATTGAAAGAATCTCAATAATAAATCGAGTGGTTCCCACGCAATATTTTCAGAATTCTCCACACGTAATTTGTCAATAAGTATTCATATGTAGATACTGAGACTTATTCGTTGATGTTAATTAGAATATGATTTGAAAGAATTACTATCCCAGACAGCACAGAAGATTCTATGAATGTTCTCACAACGTTCACAACATACCTGCATCAGAATATTCCAAAGAACGTCCATAGAATATGATGAGGATGTTCAGGATGTTCATAGAATGTTCCACGAGGATATTCATGAAACATTTAATCTAAATATCCTGGGAATGTTCTCAGAGTATCCTATCATATTCTATGAATGTGATTCAGCAATGATCATAAATTGTATTCGCAGGGTATAACATGAAGTTGTAGTCATGTTGTAGCCATCTTGTGGCAAAGCTCTGAGATAGGATACAGAGATATCGCGACATACACTGTATGGCGCTGCCATCTATAGTCACACGTACAGACCCCTACGTCTATACGCTACAGAGTGGTACTATACAAGTGAATCACTCTGCTGACAGATGACACTACCTGACATACTTGAGTGGAATTCTTCCACCACCTATTGGGATTTTAACCTTCATTATTCCGCGCTGTCATTTTGTCAAAAATGATATGTTTTTGACGCCAAGTGTGATGAGTCAAAATATTAATTTTGCCAGAAGGACTCGGAAGATATGTTTCTACCATATTCGGTTGTATAAACGAATAATCATATGATAATCAGTCACATAATTGAATGAACAATTGTTATAACCTTCGATTCTACTACCAAGTAATCACACTTGATGATCACGTGATATATGCCGTCAGATGGCACATTGCTTAGCATCAAAACACAATTCAACTGCAAAATCTCATACACTACAACTTCATGTTATACCCTGCGTCTTCGAAATGGGTGATATACCCGAAGCGTAGAGTTGTCCCAGTTATCAGCAGACCGAGAGCGGCTGATTAGACCTGGTGGGTCGAAACAGTACTGTCTCGCTCCTGCTGACAATTGGGGCAACTCTGATCATCCTAGATCTCTTAGTTATGAGATTCAGCAATAAAATGTATTGTTCGAATATTGTAGGCTTGTTCTACAGGTTCTTTCACATTTTTGTTTCCTATGAACATATGTCCTAGCTTCGTTTCTGAGAAACATTAGTCGAATTTTTCAGAAAAAGTAAGTTTTCATCGATTAATTATTTGAAATCCTTTCCGCTGATTTTGATAAAACTTACCATGCTCATGCAAGGGATAGCAATTTATGAGGCTTTGTGAATTGAAATTTACCGCTATTTCCTTCAATCACTTCCTTCCTATATACCCTACCTGGGCTATGACTCGGAATATTGAATGTGAAATTCTGAGCTATGAAATTCCGAGAGATCCCAGCAAACATTGAACTTATGGGAGAAGTCAGCCCTAGTGCAGGCAAGTCTTGGAAAGTGACCATGAGGGGGTATCGGTATTGGGCCGATGATTTCCCCATGGCTACGTATAACCATCAGTTGAAAATACGATGATGGCCTTGTTATGGTAAGATGTCTTTAGCTAGTTGGAGACTAACGAGTTGTGGCCCCTTGTTTGCCAACGTTCTGTTCACTATTCGTCTCCCCGGTGAATGTTCTGGGAACGTCTACATCAACATTCAGCTGATAATTTGGATCATAATCATAATATGTGTCCCTATATAGTTATTGCGTATAGGTACTTCATTTTTCTCTGGTTTGTTGTCGAATCAATCAACGTTCTCCTAACTTTCTCTGGTCGTTATTCATGATGTAGATTTTTTTATTAGGATCAAGAGTGACTCTTTATTTGAATTGTATTCCCCAATATGAATATGACCACAGTTAGACCCATTTGTGTATTATATTGAATCGATTAATCGATGAATTCATTTGGACCAGGTGTCAGCCCTAAGAGCAAATACCGCGCCAGTGCCAGGTATAGGAAAAATGAGTGGAAAATGTAAGGTTAGTGAGCATTTCATCAATCATAAAAGCGGTCATTTATTTTTCTCAATATTTCACTGTGTTCGGCTCGGTAATCAAATAAAGGTAAACAATATCATTGTGTGAGACAAGTTTTAATGGCTTCTTGCCGGGGAACTTGATATGATTGCTGGGTACCCAACAACTGGGACCAGCTGCTGGCCGCAGTGTACTGATATACAGAGCCACGCATATGGGACCATTTATAGAGCCTCTGATGTTAGGTATAGGAAAAATATATTAGATCATTATTGCTCCATATCAAAATGTTTGCTGGGATGGGTCGAAATTAAAAAAATTTGAATTATAACTCAGATCTTTGAAGTTTTTACAGGGATTCGTATATTTTTCCCCTATATTGATTCCGGAATCATTTTCCATACTCTTCAAAACACCCAGTATACTGAGAATATTCCTAGAACATTTTGAGAGTGTTCTTTATATCCATATAGCATGTTCTGAGGATGTTCTGAAAAATATTATGAGAACGTTCTTCTAACGTGAATTCTCTTCCCATTTGCATGATCTTAGAATATTTTCAGACCGTTCAGTGCACCTCGTTCGAACATTCTGAGAATATTAGGAATCTCCAACGGGAATATTCTAGGAATATTCCCAGAATCACTTTGTGCTGTCTCGCTGAAGTTAATTCTGTTTCTGCAACTTTCATTTCCTGTTCTTTCAGGTTGCTAGACGACGTCTCTTGCGCCTCCATTTTGAAAAACAAATGTCCACTGCTTCTTCGAATGACGCGTAAAAATGTCGACAGGGACACATTCAGCAAAATTCTTGATTCAAGTTCAATCCAGTTTGAACCGGAAATGACACAATTGTCTCTTCATGGAAGATATGAGTTTGAAGAAACTGTATCCTCGAACCAAATGTCAAAAGCTTATCATGAAAAACAACTCAATGATGCCCTAGTTAATGATTTCATTTCCATCCGGTATACAATGTCTCTTTCGTATAAACAACATTTTGTCTATAAGTACTGCGAGAGTACCATAATAAATGAGTGTTGTTCAGTAATAGTTCGCCAGGAAACTAATGACTGCCAAAATCTCAATAAGAACAAGAGGATTTTTGGAAGTTATTCATATGTATCAAGAAAGTTAAATAGGGTTTCATGGACCGTAGCCTTTGAGTAAGAGGTCCATAAAAGTAAGTTAGGCCCAAAAAACAAACATTTTTTGCACGACCAGTATATTTGATTCTGCATTGCGAGTATCAACCTCTTCACTTCTGGAGGACAGTTGTGTGCATAAACAATTCGTACAGCAGGCTATTTTCAGTCAGGCTTGTCAATCTTTATTGACCTTTTTTATCGAATTTGACAAGCATCAGTATCAAAATTCAAACTATTTTTGTCAGCAACGCACATATCTGTACGTGTACTACTTTTTAATGGAATTTGGAACATCATACACTGGGGAAAATTTCTATTAACCATAGTTAGAAAACGAATTATCCGATCAGCAAGAAACTCCAATAGGGGACAAGCGAGTTATCACCTGTGATTATAAAGTGGACTTTGCTGTATATTGCTATTGGCTATCGCTAGTGAGTGTATCTAATAATCGGAATAGGGCAATGTTATAATCGTTGGTAGAGAACTTTGTTTTGTCATAAAGAAAGGTGAAATTTTGACTGAACTCCAATTACTTCACTTCCTATAAGTTCCATCCTGTTTGGCATGAATAGCAATTTATAGGTTCCTAATGAAAATTAGATATCAATTTATCAGCCCTCAGGATAAACACAAGGTTTTTGAGTAACTAATGGAATTAAGATTTTTTCTGCAAACTTGATGCGTATACAGAAAATACAAATTTGATCACAATAGGTTTTCAGATAAAATCCTATAGAGAAGCTCTGGAACTAATTTGACAATTTTAAAGTTTCATTGAAACAAAATGGAAAAAAATTTTAATGTGAAATATCAATATTTCAGACAAAATACCTTGACTCACCTTCATCATTCCATCAATCCTGGCAAAAACTGAGGTACTCAGATCTACGAAAGCACTGAAAGGAGCACAGAAGCTTGTTTCATTTGTTTTAAAATGTTTTCATTCTTCATTCGAATTCAGATTCAGATTTCGAATAATGAATTGTAATCAAGGAATAGGAACTGTCGTGTCGTCGTGATTGTCGTCCTGTACATGGGTTTGCATCAACAGACGATAGATGGCAGAGCCATACAGTGTATGTCGCGATATCTCTGTATCCTACCTCAGAGCTTTGCCACAAGATGGCTACAACATGACTACAACTTCATGTTATACCCTGAGCCCAACTGGAAATGAATGAACATGTTTTCGATGAGACGCAAGATATCTAACAAACCCTCACAGAGGAGGAAAAATCAGCAAAATATCGAATTAAGATAAGTAGGCGCTGAATAACCCCAAGAAGGTTCGTCAAATATTATTTTCGTGGCAGGATGACTTTTGTATTTTTGGTAGTGAGTGTAGTTTTATGCGATGAACCACGCAGCCACAGGCATGTTACTCACTAGTAGTATAAAAATAATAATGCTATTCCAAACTGGCTGCCTCATGGCGACAGCAGGATACCTTCCTGTGGCAGAAAATTCACTTTCAGCAAAGTCGTTATTGCTATCTTAGGATTTCAATGTGCTGCTTCTATTCGAAAATGTGTACCGATGATAAGATTGCTCATAATGGTAGCAAGAAATGTCTCAACAAGAACTCCATACAAACCTTGTAGTCCTTGTACGACTTGTTCATGCACACATCTGTACGATAAAAATTCACTATGGTTGCGGAATATCATTGATGGGATCAACGTTGCCATGGTAACTTAGTTAATTTTTCGGAATAGGAGCAAACTATAATTTTTGCTGCACTGAGGAGAATTTCTATTAACCATTGTTAGAAAGCGGATTATCCCAGCAAGAAACTCCAATAGCATAGAAGACAAGCGAGTTATTACTGGTGGCTATACAATCGACTTTGCTGATTATAACCCACCTGCGATTATCAGATATAAAACCATACTGCCATTAGCGAGTGCATCTGTATATTGCTATCATATGATGCTTTTTTTAGTGGGCCTATGACTATAATGCCTATGGCAATTTAATGATCATATGGAGTGTGTGTTGATATGAATCAATGTTCGTCGTGGCATATAGCCAGGAAAGTAGTTGTTTTCTGTTGAATAAACCGAGGAAGGATTGATATTCTGATCACATAGAGCATTCGAATTATAATTAATTATAATCATATAATTCAATACATGATTATAATTGGTTTTCTATACTTCCTGTAGGATGAATATCGAATCGACATAGATTCAAAAATACTAGGGTAGTGCTGGTCAAAGTGTGGGACTCGCTGTTTATAGCTACCTATGAATATTCACTCACCTAATCAGATCCTGATGTTCCATAACAATATTCCGTAGACAATGGAATTTCGATTCATTCCTTCCATCACTGTACATCTCAAAATTTTCAAACTTGAATCCCAAGATGTCAATTCTTGCAGTAGCGAAGTTCACCATCGAAATGAACAGGGAATCAAACACAATAATAAACCCTGGTAACCAAATGCCTACGGGGAATTGAAAAAAGTACGCAACGTTGAAATAAATCGGATTCCCAACATCGAAAGGGAACCAACCACGATAGATGAGCGTCTTGTTTTCCATTGAATTCCCAACATTCATCAGCATCCAATCGTTGAAAGCGTTGAACATATACAAGAAGCCAGTACTGAGCGTCATAACACACAATATGAAGAATATCTTGTAGTTGTACCGGGAATTTCTGTTGTATATTTGCGTACACTCCAGGTCATCGTGGGTGATGTCGTTCTCAAACTCGTACACTTCTTTGATTATATCCCGAATTCGTCTGGTGTAGAATAACACCAATTTCATTAGTAAGAGAGAGCTGAAGAGGAATGTTTGCATGTTGATGTTGAATGTTGCGTCATCTACTCCGCTCCTCAGTACATCTTTCATGCCCACAAGTAGCGACAGGACGAATAGTGTGTAGTAGCCTTGTGAAAGGAGAGACCAACTCTTGTATAGAAAAGATGAGTTTGTTGTTTCGTTCCGTATATCAAATGTTCCAGCTATTAGCAAGGCGTACCTTGTGTACTTGAGGATGCTCTCACAGTTGCTCATTTTGACTGTTGCTTTTTGGCGATCACCAACTACTGACATCATTTCTGCCCTGATAAACAAAAGTGCTGTACAGGGTGTTCCGGTGATCATGTTACAAACTTCTAGGATAGATAAAACGCACGAAAATAAGAAAAAAAGTTCATGTGAACATGGGTCCGGAAACGTTTCTTCAGGGAGCTAGGGCCCTTCGATGATGACCTTCAAAAACTACTTTTCGTTTTATAGCTTCGGTACTACTGCAGCTATCGCAACTAATTTTGGGACATGAAATCTAGTTCGTAGGTTCATCAATTTGAGCCTTCCAGATTTTGTCACCTTTAACCAGGGGCGTACAAACCAGGGGAGTATTTGAGTAAATTTGACCCTACTCCTGTTAGGCTTCAATTTCTCACCATTTTTATATCTGATTATGATTCCCCAATGCCTTTTACATAAAGAAGGTACTCTTGTAAAATTCGCTATCTGTCACCGTTTCCTCCGAAAATGGCTAAATCCAATCAATAATAAATTATTGGTCTTAAACCAATTATTACGTTGAAATATGAAAATAAGATTCAGTACAGATAGTTGAAATTATTTTGGTACGTACAGGGTCAGTCAACGATAGCGTTAGTATATTCATCTTCAAGACAAAAATTTACTCGGCCTTATCCTTGACTCACTCGTTAAACCTGTTTGTGTTACTTGTTTATTTCATACTTTTGAAACATCAAAACTTCAAGTTTTTCATTGGTGCTCGTGAATGATTTATTGCAAATTTATTATTAGTTTTGCTTGTGTAGGTTTAATTGTTTTGTTTTTGAAATATTTTGTATACGTTCCCTTTTACTTTTTATTCCCCCAATTTCGAAAAGGCAATAAATTTCTCTAATCTAATTTATTTTCATCAAAGAAGAAGATTTGACTAACTAATAATGCTCACTATCTGTACTGAACCTAATTTTCATATTTCAACGTAATAATTGGTTTAAGACCAATATTTTATTATTGATTGGATTTAACCATTTTCGGAGGAAACGGTGACAGAGAGCGATTTTTACAAGAGTACCTTTTTTATGTAAAAGGCATTGGAGAATCATAATCAGATATGAAAATTGTAAGAAATTGAAGCTTAACAGGAGTAGGGTCAAATTTACCCAAATACCCCCCTGGTTTGTACGCCCCTGGTTGAAGGTGACAAAATTCGGAAGTCTCAAATTGATGAACCTACGAACTAGATTTCATGTCCCAAAATTGGTTGCGATTGCTGCAGTAGTACCGAAGCTATAAAACGAAAAGTAGTTTTTGAAGGTCATCTTCGTTTTTTCTTATTTTCGTGTGTTGTATCTACCCTAGAAGTTTGTAACATGATCACCGGAACACCCTGTATATGTACAAAACAGTCATTTTGAGATATGCGACTATTTACATTCTACTTCGGCCTTATGGATAATTGCGCAGTGCTATACTCGTTTCTTGAATAACTTTGACATTTTGTATTGTCTACATTTGCCATTTTTTCGAAACTACACGTTTTTCTGGTAGAAAAAGCATATAATAATAATAATAATAATAATGATGTATACACGTTATTTCAAGGAATACTACAATATGAAATGGTGATTACATAAAGTAGGATCAAATGAAACAATCGTCAACTAAAGAATATGATAGGTTCTTGTGAGTTCTAGAGATATTTCCGAGATTATTTGATTCGTTCATCAACTCTATCTCATCATATGGTTCGATGTTAACCAACAACTTGAAAACTGTTTTCTTGAATTTTGCTAATGATTTTATCGATTTGATGTCACTTGAGAGTTTGTTATAAAATTCAATACAAGAGTATAATGGACTGGACTCGCAACCCGTGTGCTGGATATGTGTAGTTAGAGTGTCTGGTATCATGTTCTGTCTGAGATTCCATATTTGTAAATGATCGTTTAATCTTGACAATGAATAATAAGCACTCTTGAATGAACATTGCATGGAAGGTGAGTAGTTGATTTTTTCTGAATAAACCTCTGCATGAATCTCCGGGTTCCATAAGTTCCAGAGAATTCTGAGAATTCTCTTCTGGATTATTAATATCGCGTTTGCGGCCCTGCTACTTCCATAGAATATGATTCCATACCTCATGATTGACTCTACGTTTGCATGGTTAACCATCTTGAGTGTATGGTACTTGACATATTTCGCAATAATTCTTAGGCTATAGCAGTTTAATTTTCCACACACATTATTTTTTCTGAACATGATTTTCTATCAGGTCATTGATGTAAGTTATAAAAAGTAGAGGGCCTATAATGCTGCCTTGTGGAACACCATCAGTGTTCGAGATTTCATTAATTTCTGATTCGACTGTTTCTTTGTCTTTTCTAATAACTACTCTTTGCTTTCTCTGCAACAAATATGACCTAAACCTACTAGGCGCGGCTCCTCTGACTCTATATAATTGATTTCCTACTCTATCCAGAATTTTTTCCTATTATTCGGAAAACATTATTCAAATTCTTCAGGATATTCCACATATTGCTAATGAAAGAGATTGTGCTGACATTGCATTTTTGTTCATGTTCTTACTATACAGAAAATCCAGTGTTGCATATGAACCTGTAAGGTTGTTGGAGAGGTGTTACTTTTTATGTAGGTATGTGATTTTTATGAGGTAATCTACATAACCTGCTTCTATACAATCTGAATTTGTGAAGAAGGCCAAGGCAGCTACAGTGGATATTATCGAATCGACCTGGAATCAAGCAATGAAAGTGTAGACTTTGATTAAAAACGCTGGGTTGAGTCTGGAATACTGGTTGCTATCTTCATTCTGGATAATTACAGGAATCAAAACAAATCTCTATCGGGAACAGTCTCTGGTGTATTCTAAGGTTAGGCCTTGAAAATTAATATTTATTCAAACTATTTCGTTGAGTTAACCTGGAGAATCCTCTTTTCCTCAATCTGTCAATTTTTCAAAACAGAAATCTTTGGGGTTGATTGTTATCTTGTCTCCATTTATGTCGAATTTCCATAACCCAGAATGACCGAATACAGAGCACCGGGATACCGGAACACAGGACAGAAAGACTCGAGAAAGAAAAGAAATAATCAATTTGACGGATGAGAAATGAAAATCATTCAATAATTCATTGGAAATGAAAATAATGACCACAGAGAAAGAGATATGAGATATGCGCTCGCAGAAACCGTCTCTGGATAAGTGAGAGATCGATGAAATCAGCTCTTCAGGGAAAATCTGGAAACGGAATTATGTACAGGGTGTCCTATATAATTGATCAAAGTTGTTGCTACTTTTCAATATAAACGGCAGCGTCGCAGCGCTGACAATATTTTAGATCGATAGAACACAACAAAATATTCGATGAACCTGATTCTCGAAATAATCCTACGTTGCGTTCTCCAGAAACGTCTTATGTACCATTTACCGTGGATCAGCCTGTGTTTCATTACACACTGGCTTCGAATGAAATATGAGAGCACTGAGAGATCAGCAAGAGAACCAGGAGAGACAGGAGAGATTCCTCAGCCGTCTTTTCTTTTTATACTTCCCATCATCTTCGGTACAGCTCAATCCTAGATTCTGATTGGTCGGAATCCTCGTCTTCTATAGCGTCCAAAAGTACTTGCCTGTTCTTAAACTCACAAAAATGCGAATAAAATAATTTTTCACCGGGCCCAGAAAAAGAATATATCCTTGCTCATGCTACTGAATGAATTTGACAAGAGAATATTCAATAATGAACAAGTGATGACCAGGTGAATATTCTACCTAATTTTCATTACTATCAGGGAAAAGTTCTGATAGTCAGGAACTGATGAATGGCTTAGCTATATAAGGTCTTCAGGTTTCGAGCTTCTGAATAAGTGAAATTCAACTAGAAGGAGTCTGAGGTAGTTATAGATATTTATCAAAACCAGTCTAGTAATGAAGCTGGCTCAAAAATACTTCATTGTCAACCTCGTTTCCCAAATCAGCTCAACATTTCAAATCATTACTATCCCGCACTGCTTTTATATATATGGAAGGTTGAATTGAGAAGATTGAGTTGAAAAGCAGCATTTTTTAACCAACCACCTTTATTGATTTTGATAAATGAGGTCGATTCATTATTATGTCTGCTATAAGTATAAGTACTGTATTTTCTGCCTTTTGATTTCTTCGTTGGGAGTCCTTCCAAAGGAAAAAGTCGGTGTATTTAATTTCCTTCAGGTCCACTTTTGGATTATTGACAATTTGGAAGGACTCGGATAAGTAAATACACGGACGGGAAGAAACAAACCAGAACAATCTGATAAACCTCCAAACAGAGAATTGCACATTCTCACCAACTTACTTGGCAAAAAAGCAGTAAATGACACGTGCTAAAGAATAGTGCAGTAAATACAGAACATAATATGCTGCAGTTTTGTTCAATATACTGCAGGTACTGCGGTTTTGTCTAGTATTCACAGTGAATTTTGTATACATACGGCAAACAACATCGAAGAATATTTCCACTGATTATGACTGACATATACGGCGTTTTTCCTCAGTAAAGAGATCCCAAAATGGCAGTACTATACAATCATCCAAAAATCTCAAAATTATCATTTTTGCACAAACGGCACTTTCGCTTAGCAGCGCAGACTAGGTAACGATTTTATTATTCGATAATCAATAAATTATGATAATAATAACATACATTTCTCCCTAAGAACTATGAAGATTTACAGATTTTTTTTTCGCTTATATGAACTGCACGAAGTAAACGAAGCCCGCCAACATTGTAAAGGACAAAAATATTGGAATTCTTCACTTAGGCGGATATCGACACGTCATACCATCTAATGTTTGCTATGTCGATATAATGATATTCAGTGAATATTTCATATCATAATACTGATTGCGGAATATTCTAGGATTATTTGTCAATTAATTAATGATTCAAAAATGTTGAGTCAATGAAGTGTCGAAGCTCGATTGCTCGAAGCTCGATTGCTCGAAGCTCGATTGCTCGAGTAACAAGAAAAATGATTCGAGAACGATTATAAATGGGACAAAAAGATTCATG